GCCCATGGCAGGGGGTGGCACTGGGTGGGCTTTAAGGTCCCTTCCCACCCAAACCCTTCTGGGATTCTATGATTCTGTGATAAATTCACCTCCCGAAGCTTTGGCCATCTGCAAGAGAGGTGTCTCCTCCAATGTTCAGCTCCTCTGGGCTCAGCGGAGGAAGATGATGCTCAGAGAGGGATGGGTCTCGGTTTCAGTCCCCATGAGGGGCTGGGCTGAAGCGAAGCGCTGGAACCAAACCAGTCCCATCATCCCGCTGCTACGGTGCAAAGCAGGCGGGTACAATCCACCCAGGAACAAAGGGCTGCAGCCAGCAAACCCCAAATCCTGACCCTGCCCACAGCGTGCCACCGCACCGGGGCACACAGCAGCGGGCTCTGGGGACGGGAGGAAGGTGGTAACGCTGGGTGTTTCCCAGAGCTCCCGAGCATCCCGGGCAGCACGGACAAGAACTCAGCTGGGACTGAAGATGCACACAATAGGGAAACTTTATTAACGGCCCCATGACAAGGTCTGAGACCACGAAGGCATAAAATGTCAACCAAAGATACACGGCTAGGACACGGCTGAGCACGCAATACAACCCCGTGCGGGTTTTTTTTTGAGTTATGTATCTACCAATTCTTCCTACTGCAGTCATGACCTAACTGTTTTTTCCCTGGCATGTTTAAGTTGAAGACACATTTTGGCAGGAACAAGTAGTTATTGCAACGATGCATCAACAAACCACGTTTTTTTTCCTGAGCTGTAGTAAAGGCTGTCACTAGAGATGCTTTGAAATACGGGGTGGTAAACAGAGACACCCAAGGAGGGGGGATGTTATCTCCCATTTTAGTGTTCTAATTTTAAGCAACTTCATATCCCTTAAGCTTTGGGCTTCATTACGGAGAGAGAACGGGTGGGGGAGCTTGTTAACGAGTCACTGCGCTATAAAGAACCTGCAGGTAAATGTCTGCATTGCCTTCAGTAAGAAATCAGCTTTATTCTTGAATTCCTGTTTCTGAGCCCATTTCCAAAGAAAAGAAGGAGAAACCCAAACCAGCTCTACTGTTTTCTTCTTGGTTATACTTTAAGAAAACAAACCCAGCCTGAAACCTGACCAAGGGCTGGCATTTTCTGAGCAGCCCAAGGGAATAAATTCTTCCAAATGGTACTAAGAGGGAGACAATCTTCGGGTCTCTTTTGCAAAACCCCAGCAGCAATGTGGAACAGCTTGCCGCTCAGATCATTGCTTTGCCCTTCAAAGGGTGAAATCCAGCCCTGAGCAGGGGGTACCAAAGTAACAAAAGCGTTATCCCTCCTGCTTCACCGGGTGAATTTCACCCCACAGGCTTGAACCTGCTCTGGGTGGAAGGGTTCCCACCGAGTTCAGCAGCGCAGGATCAAGCCTTGGGCGGGACGTGGCAGGGGCAGGTATTCTGGAATGTGTCTTATTCCAATTCATTCATCACTGCAGAGATTTTGCAGCCAATTTGTCCTATTAAAGGCAACCAAACTTTTCGTTCTACGATTTCCCTCCTCCCATGTAACGGGTACCGCCGATCTCCCTTCCCGTCGTTACTTCCGGAAGCTCCTCCGGCTGGACGAGGTGGTGGTGACGGTGTAGGATTTGGAGCCTCCCCCAGAGGAGAAGCCGAGCGCCCCGCTGCCCATGCCTGCTCCCAGGCCCAGGCCTCCGATTCCTCCTCCCAGAAATCCACTGGAAGCTCCACCGGTAGTGCTGACCACAGCTGCGGCACAGAGAGAACCAAACCCAACATGAGCGCCGGGGACATTGGAACCCCCTTTGTCACCCCCCCCAAAAAAGGGAATTTTTAAATTGCAGCAACCAGATGAAAACGCTCTAGGATTTCCTGCAAAACACAGGACAATCATCTCTTCCTACGTTTTGGTCCAAAGCATTTGTTCTCTGTGCTAACAGAGGGCTGAGCAGCCCAACTCCTCCTCCATCACTTGGTTGGGCTCAGGACCCCCGGCAGCGTGGAGAACCCCACACCATAAACACACTCAGCTCATCTCTTGGTGCACCAAAGAGACTGTGGACGTGTGGTTCACCAGCCATTAAGTAGATGAAAAGTAGAGCCACTGGATCAGAGCTGTGGACATCTTCCCCATGTCCAGGCAAGGTGAGGACATGACGCTTCCCAAGCTGGAAAGACGCCCTCCAACCTCACCTTTCACTAACATCCCATCCAGGCGATGCCTTTTCCCATTAGAAAACTTTTCTCCGTACAAAAAAAAAGGAGGAAAGAAAGATCAATGTTCCCCCCAATTTAAATTTCATACAGATGAGTTAGAGCTGAAGTCTGCCATGGAGCCAACGGCACCGTCAACTTCTGTCTCGGGGGGTCCCGCTTAAGCAGGGAGGTAACCGGGTGGCAGAAGTGAAGGTGGGGCACGATGAGGCTCCCCACCTGTGTTTGCTATAGGCATACGGCTACGTGTAACTATTATAAATTATAAAATCAACTCACAGATGTTGACGTTGCCAACTCCATCACCAGCCAACCTGTTGGAGAAGCAAAACACAAAGGAAGAGGATGGGTTAGAGTCGGCATTACTCAGTGTTCCCCCAGGGCCCCAGCGCCGAGGATGAAGACAATGGCAGTGAGTTATTACCACTCTTGTAAATAATTCAGACAAGATAAGTGTGCCATCCAGCGCTTTGTTCTGGCCCTACATTTACAAGCTTTGTCATCACCCGGGGGGACCAGAAAGGGCACAGAAGCTCTGTCCCAGTTCCATGGGATTTGAGCCACTTGGAAATTTTCTGCCACAGCACTGAACATATGATAGAAAACAACTTTTTTCTTCTTTGCTTATTTTCACCAGAAGTATCAGATTTTCCCCAGAACTTGCCAGTTTGGCTCTTCAGCCAAAGCATTTGCAGAACCAAAAATCAGTTTTAGATGCAAGGGTATTTCCTTGCAGAAATTGGAACTGGGTCCTCACAACGTCCCCAAGCAAAGGGAACAAAGGGTTGGACCCTTCCTCCCGTAAAACCCACAGGTTGCCCCCACCTGCTCTCCTCTCCCTCCAGCAGCTTGCGGTAGGTCGCGATCTCGATGTCCAGGGCCAGCTTGACGTTCATCAGCTCCTGGTACTCGCGCAGCTGCCGGGCCATGTCCTGCTTCGCCTTCTGCAGCGCCGCCTCCAGCTCCTCCAGCTTCGCCTTGGCATCTTTGACGGCCATCTCCCCACGTTCCTCAGCTTCGGCGATGGCTGCCTCCAGCTTGGCACGCTGCGGGGATGGAGCAGGGAACGTCCGTGGGCATCACCTCCTTGGTGGGGACACTACTGGGGGACACAACTGGGGGACACTACTGCCCACGGGCTTCTGACATCTCCTGGCCAGACCATCTCTGCAGAGCCCTGGAGCCACCTGCTCAGCTTAGATCCTAGACGTCCAAGCCTATTTTCAAGAGGTTCAAGACTTTCTTTGGGTGATCCTCAGCTGCCCAGCCCACCCACACCGCACACAACCCTTTGTGTTATTGCAAGAGCAGCTTTTCTCTCCTGTTATGCCCCAGAGCCTGTCCAGAGCCCAACAGTCTCCAGCAGCTTTGATGCGAGGCGAGCGCGGACTCAGCAGAGCCGCAGTTGACAAACAGCGCGGACCTGCTGCAAACCCATCCCTGCGGGGCCGCGCCATGCCGGCAGCCCGACGCCCCCTCCGCCGTGCCCCCTCCACCTCCAAAAAACCCCACGTTCGGCAGGAAGGGCTCACGTGAACACACGTGCTTTATATTTTATATTCTCATTCATTATTCAAGGAGCTGCTCCGGGTCAGCTCTTTGCTTGTAAGTGTGTGCCAAAGCCGCCCTGCCCTGAAACTAAATAAACACAAAGGGATGAATCACGATGGCTTATCTCCAGCTCTGTGCGCTCCGGTTACTCCCAGCCAGCCTTCAGCCCTGAACATGGTCTGAACCACTCACCGGTCTGGCTTTCACCGGTTTGATAAAGCGATAACAGCTCGTGGGGAGAGCAAACAGAACTCCCATACAGCTGAAAAATGCTTTTATGTGCCCAAACATGGTGTTCCCTTCTGCAAAACAGGGAGGGGACAAGGATCCCGGGAGCAAGAGGGTACAAGGAATGTGTGTGGCTGGAGGGAGGCCACCAGCAGCCTTGCCCTTTGGAAACGGCCTCGCATCACTCCCCTTCTGCGCTCCCGGGTTGCTGGCGGACTCGCTCTCACCCACAGTTCAGCTGCCTCCCAGCATCACGTTGCTCCCAGCACCGTTCCTCCCTCCAGCAGAACTGACACCATTTAGGCGAGCATCACCCCCCAACCTGCTCCTGCAGACGCTGTGTCACACCCACATCCCCGCCATGCTCCTCGCTGCTCAATCCCCTGCTCTGCAGCAGGAGAAAAGGGGCAGCTGCTCACCTGGGCTTTGGCATTTTCAATTTCGCCCTGCAGCCTCTGGATCATGCGGTTGATCTCCGAGATCTCGTTCTTTGTGTTGCGCAGGTCATCCCCGTGTTTCCCAGCGGTGACCTGCAACGCCTCGTACTGGGTAGAAAATAAACAGGATAAGATAAAAAAAAAAGTATAATGGAAAAAAATAGTATAAGAGAAAAAAATAGTATAAGAGAAAAAAATAGTACAAGAGAAAACAATAGTATAAGAGAAAAGGATGGAGTCAGGCTGGCTAAAATGGCATCAGCTGGCTAAAATCTGTCCCACCCACGACACACGTGGACCAACAGATAACGGCCTTTATCTCCACCGGCACTCACCTTGCTCTGGTACCAGGACTCGGCCTCGGCCCGGCTGCGGTTGGCGATCTCCTCGTACTGCGCCTTGACCTCCGCAATGATGCTGTCCAGGTCCAGGTTTCGGCTGTTATCCATCGACAGCACCACGGAGGTGTCGGAGATCTGCGCCTGCAGCTCATTGAGCTCCTGCCGGTTGCATTAAAAACAATTCTGTTAATCACCCGCTTTTCAGGGGCTCTTTTCCCGAAGCCAAATAAAGAGAGAATCCGAGAAGAAAAGGGAAACGGAGGCAGATGAGAAGAATTCAATCCAAACACTCAAGAATTGGAAGGAAACCAACCGAACCGCATCAACCTCGCAAAGCACAAACAGCAGCAGAAATGGAGCGACTTCTTATCGGCCGCCTTCTGACAGCAAGGGTAGCTTACCCTGCTCCTGAGATAAGAACGCAATGCTAGGACAAGCCGCTGGAGCATCAGCTTCACGACAAAGCCAGGGCCAGACTCCACCACCCCACCCATTGTCCTGTTCAACCCCGCTCTTATCTCACCAGTGATGGGTGAGATACAGGCACCTGGGACAAGCAGCTTTCCTTTCTCCCTCTCCCACAGCCACAAACACACCAGCACACACCAGCACTGGCTGTAACACGCTGCTTTTCCTTGTTTTCACACTAACAGCATCCAAAAAAATAATGCACGTCCTGGCTGTGTTTGCCATCAATCCATCCCAGAGAGGGAGGAGTCGCTGTGACAGTGCACATGACATGCAGGGTTAGTTCTGCTTGTGCCAGGGAAGACTCCACGTGCCCATGACCCTTCCCAGCTCTGGAAGCAGCCCATTCATTTCCCAGTCACCGGTCGCTGCTCTTCGCTCCCTGGAGCATCCCCGGGAGCAGAAGGGACCTTACCGCTTCGTAGAGAGACCGCAGGAAGTTGATCTCGTCTGTCAGCGCATCCACCTTGGCCTCCAGCTCCACTTTGTTCATGTAGGCGGCATCCACATCCTGACAAAGAGAGCGATAAGCCACCCAGATCGCCACGGCTGTGACAACCAGGTCCAGCCAGCCTTCAACGGCTTCAAAAGCAACCACGAGCCCATCCCTGAGCTGTCTGCTCTCCCCATCCCTCTGCCCAACAACCCACCACGTCCTAGAAGTTATAGAACAGAATCATCAAATCCCAGGATGGTTTCGGTGGGAAGGGACCTTAAAGCCCACCCAGTGCCACCCCCTGCCATGGGCAGGGACCCCTCCCACCAGCCCAGGTTGCCCAAAGCCTCATCCAGCCTGGCCTTGAACCCCTCCAGGGATGGGGCATCCACAGCTTCTCTGGGCACCCTGGGCCACTGCCTCACCCCCCGCACAGGAAAATATTTCTTCCTTGCATCTCATCTCAATCTCCCCTCTTTCAGCTTAAAAGCTGGCAGGGTCCACCAGTATCCACTGGTGTGCCAACCACCGCCGGTGCGCAGGATCCCGCCTGTTCTGCAGGGTCCCCTGGTCCCGCGTTTGTAGGTTCCCCCATGGGTTTGGACAGTGATGTGGGGCCTTGGGAAACATCCCAAAGGAAGACAGAGCCACAATCTGTGATTTCCATGGGATCTGGCACTCCTCCCCAGCTTCCTCCAGAGCCTTTGGTGCCTCCACCGAGGCAGCCCTGAGCCAGAAATGGGAGCTGCGGTTCCTCGACGGCCAGTTTCTGGGCACAGCCAGAGCACAGAGCACGGGGGCAAAGGGGGAGAAGGGCTGCAGACAGACAGGATCAGTCCCAGCAGAGATCCACAGCACCCACCTTCTTCAGCACCACAAACTCATTCTCCGCTGCCGTGCGCTTGTTGATTTCATCTTCGTATCTGCCAGGAAAAAAAAAAAAAAAGAGATTGGGGTAAAGTTAAGAGACTGGGGAAAAGGAACAATGGCACAATGATGAGTCACCCCGGTTCTCTTCTCTTCTCTCTCCATTTCTTTCTCTGTGACCCACCTCAGCAAAGCCCACGACTGTCCCCAGCGAGCCAGCCGCGGGCAGAGGCTCACCGCACTACTACAGCGTGGATAGTGTTTGCACGAGAGGTCCCAGCCGTACGCCACAGCTCCAGGTCCTGTTTGGATGAGGTGATGTCTGAGAGCTATCCTGGTCCACGACACCACGATCCCTAACCTGGAGAGCGCTTCCTACCCACGCCTTCCCATATTCATAGAATCCCAGAGTGGTTTGGGTGGGAAGGGACCTTAAAGCCCACCCAGTGCCACCGCCTGCCATGGGCAGGGACACCTCCCACTAGCCCAGGTTGCCCAAAGCCTCATCCAGCCTGGCCTTGAACCCTTCCAGGGATGGGGCATCCACAACTATTCCTTAAAATCCTCCGCACTTCAGAAGCTTTCTGGTTCTTCTCCTCTCTGGTGGATGGCTGCAGGGCTGTGGTCCATGCTCTGAGGCTCTCAGGTTTGTCACCTGCCCCCCAAGAGAGCAAACACCAACGCAGAAGAGACGCGAGCAGACTGAACAAATTCCTCTGTGCTCATCAAAGCACCAGCTAACGCTACTGTCGCTGTGCAGTTCCTTATTCCAGACATCTGAGAACATTTGGAACTGGATGATCTCTAAGGTCCCTTCCAACCCAAACCACTCTGGGTTTCTGGGACTTTGCAGGGGTCAGCCACATGCCGCTGTCCCGGTAAGAACCACGAGTCATTGTTCTCATTCCGCACGGAGCGGCTATGCTTCAAAGCGACACCAACTTCAGGGATCAGCTACAGCCTTGCTTCAGGTGTTCACCTTTAGAGGCAACGGGCTGGATCCTTGGCACGTAAAGATCAGGCTCCGGTGACTTTATGGGAGGATCACGGATTTGTGCCACCTTCAAACCTGGATCTCAGCGCCCACCTTACCCCAGCGCACCCAGAGCCAACCTGCTGGAACACACGGCAAGAACCTGCTACGTGGAACCTGAGAGCATCCAAGGAGCAGAGCAGGAACCGCTTCTCGGGCTGTTTCGGAATTGCTCAACACTGCTCTATTGACAGTCCCTGCACGCCTCGCTCCGTCATTTCCCTTCCAAAGCATGAGCCGCTTCGCTTCCAACAGCCTCCACGCACCTCCCCTCCCGCTCCGCGCTGGAAGCCTGCCCATCCCCACCGGCACACGTGGACGTTGTCCCTTGGGAGGTCAATGAACTGGATCTGTTGCTATTGCCGAGCAGTACGTAGCCTGGAAATCACGCAGCGCAGGATGGATCATCAGAGATGGGTAAAAAGACGGAATTATTCTAGAACAGTTTGTCCAGTTCCTCATTTCCTGGGGGCAGCTCCCCCAGGCTGGTCCCCCAATGGACAAACCATTCCCTATTCTCCACCAACTCCCGCGGTGCCTGGGGATGCCGAGCACACCGTCGCGCCTGGTCACGCCCTGCGCCGAGCCACGGGGACAGCGGGAACGGTCCGCTCCTGCCCTCCCTCGCTCTGAACCACACCCTCAGCCACGGCATTTACCGAATAAGGGACTGAATCGCATCCCCGGGAGCCTCGTGCGTATAAATCCCCTCCCCTACCCCAGACGTCAACTGGGAATTACCGTGTAAACTGGACATACGGAAAAGAAGCAACAGACGCATAAAGAACCCGTCATGTTTCAGGTGTTCTGCTTCAAAGATGGGATTTTCTTCATATAAATGGGGAGAAGCAGGTTCTGAACTCCCGTTACAGCATCCTCACTCCTTCTGCTCCCCAGCTCCCTCAGGCTCCCCATTCTCGCTTCCCTTCTCTGAGCACGGACGGGATTTGGTTTTACACAGACCCGTGAGCTGGAGGAATAAAGACGCACCCATGTGCCTTCGATTCCCGTGACACACAACCAAAACGAGGGCTGCAGTTCCTCGGGGTGCAAACCAGCTCCTGGCTGCTGCCTCGCAGAGAAGATGAGCCCAGAGCGGGGCTAGGGGAGCATCGCTCCCATGCTCCTCCTTGGGAATCGCTGGCTATTGACTTTCCCTAAACACGCCCTGGGGATTATCAGATCTGTTTGCTTTCAGTTCCTGCTCATTCCAGTTTGCCAGCTCCCTCTTTTCTTTCTTGGCTTTTTTTTTTTTTTTTAATTGAAGGCATTCCCCTGTACAACTGGGTTGGGCACAGGCTGGGACAAAGTCTACTTTCTTCATGGGACTCCTCCCAAGAGACACGATTTGGAGTGAAAAGTCACTTAAAAATTGCAGGTCACCTGCTCCACCACCTACCCACAGAACGAGCAGCGCTTCGCTCGCCGCCCGCCAACCCGCTGAGCTCCTACGGACCCCGTGGGGCACATCCAACCCAAAGGACAAAGCCATCCCCGAGGAGGTCCCAAAGCAACGTCAAGAGAACAGAGCCACCGAGAACCACGGTAGAAGAAGGTGCAAGGGACGAGTGATGCAGGCGATAAGAATCCAGGCAGCTTCCCTGCCTGGGGAACTAACCCTAACCCTAACCCTATCCTTAACCCTAAACCTAACCCTAGCCCTAACACTAACCCTAACCCTAAGCCTATCCTTAACCCTAAACCCTAACCCTAACCCTAACCCCAACCCTACCCTAAGCCCTAACACTATCCTTAACCCTAACCCTAACCCTATCCTTAACCCTAACCCTAGCCCTAACCCTAATCCCAACCCTAACCCTAACCCTAGACATAATCCTAACCCTAACCCTAGCCCTAACCCTAACCCCAACCCTAACCCTAGCCCTACCCCTAACCCTAACCCTAGCCCTAACCCTAGCCCTAATGCTAAACCTAACCCTAGCTCTAACCCTAGCCCTGGCGCTAACCCTAACCCTAACGCTAACCCTAAGCCTAACCCTAGCCCTAACCCTAGCCCTACCCCTAACCCTAACCCTAGCGCTAACCCTAACCCTAGCCCTAACGCTAGCCCTAACGCTAACCCTAACCCTAAGCCTAACCCTAGCCCTAACCCTAACCCTAACCCTAACCCTAACCAAGCTCATGGCTGGAACACCCAACTCATGGCTGGAAAAACATCTCCCTGCCCAGCAGAAAAGCTGGGGACACCTCTGCTGGTCTAGTGACCAACCTGCCAGCTCAACTACACCGTTAGATGGGAGGATGATACATTACTTCGTCTTGAAATCCTCCACAAGATCCTGCATGTTCTTCAGCTCGCCCTCCAGACGCCCTTTGTCGTTCAACAACCCGTCCAGCTGCCGCCGCAGGTTGTTGATGTACGCCTCGAACATGGGAGCGATGTTACTCCGGGCTGTCTTCTGGTCCTGGAGGAGGCTCCATTTCGTTTCCAGCATTTTATTTTGCTGCTCCAGGAACCGGACCTGGAAAGCAACCGAGGGGTCATTTGTGAAAGCGGGAGGAAGTGGGGGGGGGGGCTGACAGGACGGAGTGTCTGCGGACGGTATCCGAGGAATTCGGATTGCTCCTGGGGAGCAGCTGAACTCAGGAGGGTGATAAAGGACCGTGAGGGTGCACTGCTGCTCCGGGGCTCGGCTTACGGCTTTAGGGCTTTGTATGAATAAAGATAAGAGCTTGCCTGACACTTGACAGAAGCCAGCCACAGACCCCAAAGTCAGGCAATCACTCACTCTCCAGGATTCCTCGCATTTTGAGGATGCCAGAGCCGCAGTTCCCACAGGATCAATTAGCACAAGGCAGTAAAACAACAGAGGTGCAGGGCAGAGCAAACAAACCCGGGAAGCTCCGAGTTACAACAATTCTGGGACAATTCCTCCCCGAGAGACCCCCTCCTCCCTGCATTCGGTGGTGTGCTGGGGTGCAGGTTTGATTTTTAGAGCCTGACCCCCCCTCCTGGGCAATAGCAGCTAAAGAACGGGGGTACAGAGCTGGCCCAAGGGGGGCAAAACCCCTTCCCTGACGGCAAGGCAAGCAGGGCTTTAGGAAGAGTTATTGGATTGCAGGAGGCAAATCACCCCCACGGTCCCGAGGACCTGATCCTGACCCATTTGTGAATATAAGCTTTGGGTCAGACCCGCTTTTACGCAGCTTCCCCAGAGCCACCAGCCCATCCCAACAGCTCACCTTGTCGATGAAGGAGGCGAATCTGTTGTTGAGGGTCTTGATCTGCTCCTTCTCCTCCTTGCGCACCCGCTGGATGTTGGGGTCGATCTCCAGGTTCAGGGGCGTCAGGAGGTTCTGGTTGATGGTCACCTCCTGAATGCCCCCGGGGCCCATGGCCCCCCCGAATCCCACCCCTCCGTAGCCGTATCCCGAGCGGATGCTGTAGGAGC